GAGACATGTCCCTGCAAGGGACAGACAACCCAGCCTGGCCTCGCTCACAGGCAGGTGCTCACTTGTTCCTATGACTTTCACTATCAAAGACAACTTCTAGGTGCAGTAGGCACTTTCTGCACAAGTGACTCCTCCTGGCAAAGGCTGCAGAGATTTCCACTGGAATCATCCACAGGCTCATTACCACATGAGCAGGAAGCTTGTAAGCTGCCAATTTCTAGTGGCACCTTTGCCCTCACTTGGCTGCTTTATCACCATGTGCCAGATGTCCAGGGATGTGAGCCCTAGCAAGCAAGAGAGCTCCCTCTAATTCACTAATGACAGCCAAGAAACCGCCCTGGAACTGGCCTCAGTACCAGGCTGAGATGACTGCTTTGCATATCTGGAGCTTGTTTCAGGAAGCATCTACTCTCCATGCAACAGAGAAACTTTCAGCTCTTGACCATTATTTTAAGAAGCAACATATGACCAAGCCTCTATCCCTCTGCAATTCCTCTGGTACTTTGTGTATTTAGAAAGAGTTTCTGTCACTGAAAGACCAGGCAGATGCAGGAGGGTACAAGCACTGGGAAGCAGTGGGGTGGATCACAACATATATAGATTATGTCTATTGGCAAAAATAACAGTCCAGGAGAAAGTTTAACTGTTCTAGGTGACTGTCCATGAGTAATCCCCCTCTGGGGATGCACTGGCAGCAGTTGTTTCATCAGCAAAGGGGTGCCTGTAAGCATCACAGGCTCTTGCAGCAATGATTCCAAGTCAGCACTGCCAGACCAGTCACCACAGATGCACGAACAGCTCACATCTGTGACCCTTCTGCAACAGCCATGAGTTCATGGAACTGCAGGCTCTGGGACTCCAACCCATTTCCTTTCCACTTGTACACTGACTTAAGAGGCCAGCATGGTGCAATACTCCCCTCTGCTAACCATGTCACCTTTCTCCATCCCATACTCCTTCTAGCTGCAACCAGTGCTATGATTTTCTCCTTTAGTTTATCCTAATGTTTGTCAAATTACTGAAATCAGGTTACCAGCATTTTAGTCACTCAGATTGCTTCACCCTTCCACTTCTGAAAGGCAGGTCTACATTCTCTGGTGATACACTATACCCTATCTTCCTACAAGACTTCAATCTGGAGTGCCAGCTCAGCCAGAACTCTGTGATGAAGACTACCTTTGTTTTGCTGCTGACAGTGAACATTTAGCCAAATCTGTCCTTCTTCTAGGTTAATGTTTTGTCTCAAGTTTTCACTTGCTTCCAGATATTTCTGGTTTAGTGTGAAATAAAAAGCAGTTGAGCTTTTACATTTCCTTAGGTCCATATTCCACTGCTCCTGCTTCTGGATACAGTGTCTCCCAGGGCACTAAGGCATCACACAGATAACGAGGGAGGCTGTTGCATCAGACTATATGCAACACATAAAATCCCCTACCCCACTGTTCTGCTAATGCTTCTGCATCACACTGGTTCTTTTTCCTTATAACGTCTCCTGAAAATCCTCCTCTCTACATAGCACTTACCCCTTTCTCAGTATGCAAGTGCTGCCAAAAGACTAACACACCACAGAGCAAATCCCTCTCAGCTGCAGGGAGAATAAGCTTACCTGACCAATGACCCAGCAATAAATAGCCACTCTCCTTTCATTTACTCTTTCTCCAATAAACTCCCTTTGATTTCACTTACTCAAGAGAGGACTAAGCAAGGATCCCAGTACCTGGCCTGGAATCTCTGGTCCAGCAGGTCCAAGCTGCTCCAAGGTGCCTGAAGGAATTCAGAAGGTCTCATTACCCACCTGTGACTGTACCATGGACACGTGCAGTTGCCATCAACAGTCACAGACAAAGGAAACATCAGAGGGCAGATATCAGCCCATTTTTTTGAGGAATGCATTGACTTCCACAGGAGTTGTGTTCTTTAGCAGAATGCTTCAATTTTCATTTTCTCCATCCCGAAGCCAGACTCCTGACTATAACCACTGGTTTGCAGTGTGTCTGCACGAGGTCTTGAAGATGGACGTGTCAGATAAGGAATAAGCAACAGCAGCATACAGAGCTCTTGGGTCATGCAAGTGACTCTATATAAATGCAGGAAAGGAAGAAACTCCCCTTTCTCTGGAAAATCAGCTGAGAGAGAAACAAACCCTTGACACACAGAGAGCACTGGGCAGCATTTGTAATTTTGAACTTACCACACACTGATGAAAATACTAACACTCACTACCAGAACAAACAGACGCCTACGTGCTATTCCCATAGCACTGCTAGTCCTCCATTGGGTCATTCCTAAGAGACATTTCTGCATTGGTTTCCTCTAGAAAAAGCAGCTGTGTGAGCCACCTGCTTGCAGCTAAAGCCAGTGACAGCAAGATCTCAGCCTCAAGTACAGAGAAATCAGATGAAAGCACAAGAGAGCACAAGACAGATGTTTTCCAGCCACCTGGGCTGCATCCTAAAGCACTCAATGAACTGGCTCAGCAGTCTCGAGAACTAGCATTGATTCCCTTTTGGGGTGTTAAAACCCCAAAAAAAGGTAGGGAGTCAAAGGATTGAAAAATGGACAGAAGTAGTGTCTAGACTTAACAAGGGAAAAAAGGGAAGAGAGTTGAATTATGATTTCAATTCCCAGAACAGCAGGAATAATTATTTGTAAGCACCTGAAAAAAAAAATAACAGACTGAGTAGCAAGCCAGGTAGATTTGTCAAGAGTGAACTAATACTAATAAATACAGACAAAAAATTATGATAGGGCAGAAGCAAGACATGAACTGGAATTCAGTAAAACTTCTGACAGATCACTTTCACAAACATGCCAAAAGCATTATTGGTGATACAACTGTGATACAAGTTCAGAAATGGCCAAAAACCTGTCCAGGAGACTCAGTGGGCTCACTCTAGGAATGGAAGGATGTTAATACTTTGGGGTCTGCCTAGGAACCAACATTGTTTAGTGTTTCCATTATCAACGTGGATGATGAAGTAAAAAGTATATTTATTAAATTGCAGAGGACATGAATCTGGAAAGAATGGCACGTGTGCTGGGAAGTCTGCCAAAGGAACTTGGCAAACTGGAGGAGTGTTCTGGAAGAAAGGATCGGTAGGGACAAGTGCACAGTGCAGCCCTTTGGCACGAGGAGCCAACGGCACAAGCACAGGGTGTGGAGCGGGGAAGTGGCTGCTCTCCAATTCTTCCTGAAACCTGGAGTCTCCAGGAACCCAATACCCACCTTCAATTCCATGCCATTGTGGAAAAGGCCACTGAAACAGTGGATGTATAAAGAATGAGAACTGTGAGGTAAATGAATTATCTATTTGCTCCTCTTTTTTGCTGTAGTCTGTACATTTTTGGGCACTGCTCTTTAAGAAAAAGATGAATAAACTACAAACATTCAAAAGAGCAACAGGAATTAAGAGATCTGGTAAACATCACCTAAAAGAACTGAAAAAATGTCAGTGTTTATTCTGAAGAACTGAAGGATATGGAGCCAATCACAAGAACACTGAAGTAATGCACAAAACTGAAGTTCTTTCGGCTCTCTGCCAATCTGGGCACTGAAGCATGCAGTTAAGAGAACTGCAACCACTCTCCCCAGTCTAGCAGGTTTTAACAGACTATTTGCTGCATCTTTCAAAGAGCAGGGGATACCGCACAGAAATCTACTGATGTTGAACTGACTGCAAGCATCAGGGAAAAATTAAATTTGTTTTGAAGTAAACCAACCCATCGTTTGAGCTTCAAGCTAAACTCTAGGAGTCCCTGCAACTGCATTTGGGTTGCAGGGCACTGACACTACCAGGGCTTTCCCTTTTCCTGAATGAGGAACAAGCGCCTGACATAAAGCAAAGAAAATTACATTTGACTCAATTATTCATGTTACAAAAGCCCATTTGTGCTTGCCCAGAGGTTGACAGGTAACTTCATCTGTCTAGTAGCCAGAAAATAATTGCAAGTTGGTGCCAGTGTTAGACAAGAGCAAAGTATGCGCCCTTAAGGCCCTCTGTGTAACAGCTGTATACAATGATATATCCAGACTGTTTTGGTATGTATGTGGAGCTGCCAACCTCCTCTCTCTGTCTCTAAACACACAGTATAATATGCCATCCCCTGAATGCTAATCCATTTGTCTTCTTATTTGCTGAAAAGTCGTTAAGCAACATTTGAAAACAGATATACATATATATATATATATATATATAAGATTTGTAAAACAAGGTTATTTATTTGGGATTTCCTGACAGACAAACCGTTCACTGAACGAGAACTCATTGATCACAACGTGATTCTGTTCTGGGTAGGTGAATTAAAGAGAGCAATCCTGACTATTAACAGGTCCATGGTGCCTCAGAAGGGCACTCATGCAAATGATGGGGTAAAATTTTTACACGGGGAAGCCAGCATATCCACCATGTCAGTGTTTTAAAATGAGACTTGATACTGTTGTTCTGGATGATACTTTAACCAAACACAAATCATGAATCTCGGTAACTGAGCAAAATATAATGGCTTGTGCTAATCAGGAGGTCAGAGTAACTCTGGCTGTAGCTTTTTCAACAAGTTGTGCTGCTGCTGTCTCCTCCTCCCCTCCTGTGACATCACATCCTTGTCCCCAAAATCCTATTTCTTCCCTTTCCCATTTCTCTCTTTCTTCCTCTGCTCTTAAATCCTAGGAGTCCATAAAACCCATGCAAAAGCTGGTCCTTTTAAACATTCTTTAAGATAACTAAAAATTAATTTAATTGTTCGCAGTGCACACTAACAATCTTGAATAGCAAGCCTCATCTGTGATGCAACACAGATTACAGAGAGACGTCTTTGTAAAACATATTTAATTAAAGCTGAAGTCTGTGTAGGTAAAGAAAGTCTTCACTTAAATGCAGCAGGACACAGAGTGGGACTCTACTCTCCTCAGACCAAAATGTGGCAGATACGATGGTGATACAATGTCTGCCCATCGTTACTAATTAAGTGACTTTCACAGTGTCATCTGACAGCCTTCTTACCACTTTCTCCTTGTAAACAATGTATTTCAGCCACTTGAAATCCTGCCATTTGAATCCTGCCAGAACAAACAGGGAATCCTTCTCATACTGCTCCATTTTCTGGATTGCACCTTCAGGATATGTGATCCGGAGTGTTGTCTTGCCACCCACATCTTTTTCAAAGCCCTTCACCGGAGCCGAGTTCAGCCTGCAGGGCAACCAGAGAAAAGACAGTGTCAAGGATTCCCACTTGCACTCAGATTCCCACTTACACTCCTGTGTGTTGATGACACAGCAATCACTGCTGGGCAAGAGCTCCCTGTAGCAGCTGCTCCAGTAGCAAATCTTAATTCTTGCAGTTCTTCATCACAAGCACTTATGGAGGGTTGTACCAAGCGACGACAGCTTAATTAGAAGTTACATAAATTCTATCATTGAATATAATGCAAACCATTGCTGCGTGTCAACTCCAGGGATCTAAATAGGGTTGGAGGCTTTGGAAAAGGAAAGTGAAAAATATTGTCCTTGCAAATTTAGAGTAACAAACTAAGCATTAATATTTTAACGGCCCATTGCTCCTTTGATGTGTTAGTTGGGTTCTGCAAAGCTGTGCAGAAAGAGATGATGAAGCTCCTCATCAGTTTAAACAAACTGAAATGAGTCTCATTTTCCAGCCCCAGCCCAGAGCTTACACCACTCACCTGCAGTGAGGCTGCACAGGGAAATAAGCCACTTATAATTCTCAAAAAAATTCCATAGGATCAATCTGCACCTCTTTATTTCCCCAAACTGGCCCATTATGAGGGTGAGCTGCCTTTCAACGCCAGCACAAATGAAGAGGTTGGGCTGGGACAAGGCTCAGCACCACTGCAGTCTCATGGGCTCCAAGGAGTTTCTGCTGTGGAAGTGCATCCCACTCTGAAAACACTCAAGCAGTCACACAGCTTTGCTCTTAGAGACACTGATTTCTAATGAGATGCTACATATTTAGCTGTGCTTTTGTTAAAATATTTCTCAGGAACAAAGTTTTTTGCCTTGAAAAAGCAAACTGCTTTGGCATGAACAGCCATGATGACTTTCATGACATTAAAGTTTTCAGAATTTCTATTCAAGACTAAAACTCAAAGCTGAGGAAATTGCATGTAACTTGGAATACAAATCTTGCAGACATCAAACAGCAACCTCTGATGGCACAGGATTGCCTGCTTGAATTATTGCAGCATTCTTGACCTGGTGTTGTTCAATATACTGCAAAGTGCTTTTGGACTGCGAATTTTGCCAAGTACAAATGTTGGATTTGTCTTTTATAGCCTGGGTGAGCATTTTATATTGAAAAACTATTAGTAGAATAAAAATTTCTATACAATCTGAAATTATATTCAAAATTTAGAGAAATGCATTTTAGCAAAAATACTTATTTTATCATCAGGAATAAAATATTAAAGGCAAATCAAGAATCAGCACCACCACAATTAATACAGCAGATGAAGTATTTTCCCATGGTTTATAAACCCTTTGTAGCCTGACTTTGAGGTACCAGACCTGAGTACAATGCTCCCAGCCAGTCTGATCCCTTGCTTTTTCCTCTGTTGCTGATGGCACATTCCCACACCACTCACTGCTTCTGTGGGCAGTATTAAAACTTGAAAGTGTTGTGTCTCTTGGGGCAGATGGCCTTATACAAAGCATAAGCATGTGGCTCTAAAGGTAACAGAATACTACCAATACTGTCAATATTCTGCAAAGAAAGCAAGTTTTACATATTTTCATCTGTTTTCTTTAGTATGAAGAAATGTCTGCAGTTGTTTCAAATGTCATTTTGCAGCTCTTTGGCAGGTTTTTCCCATCCCCAACTTCTGGGTTCACTGTTTTGCTGCTTACTTTGTTTACACTCTCAAAACTTGGGAGTCCTACCTTGTATCTAGACAGGAAATAAATCAAACCATTTCCCCAAGTGCTATGAACTCAGGTCTCCAGCAAAGGGCCAGAGTGTGGCTGCTGATGGAGCCACGGGGACAGAGCCAGCACCACCAGGGCCCAGGGACAGTGCCCCGAGGGCAGTGCCAGCAATGGGGAGGGAAAGTTCAGGCAGCCACAGCACCCAAAGGTGCAGGCTCCACAGCCCAAACCCTTCCCAGGCTCCCCAGCTTATAAACATGGCTGAATCTTGGAAAACCTCAGTTAGGATGACAGGCCTCCTTGTACTGCCCAAGGACAGGCACTTTTCTGCACAAGAAGTTCCAGAGTGTTTTTCTGTCTATGTTTGCTCATTACATGGGGAGACACTAACTCCTAACCTTGGCACCATGAAGATCCTTTCAGATACCACTCAAGTATCACCATCAGGTGAATCCCTATCTGGTTCTAATCAGGAATTTTTGATGCACATTTATTTTTGCCCAGTCTGCAATCTATTCTAAGGAGGCATTTCAGAGAACTCACTGACTGCTGCAAGAAGTCCTGCCAGGTAAATAGTGTGACAGCTGGGAATAACATCTGCACTGAAATCTGATAAGGTCTAGTTAAAGAAAAACAGTAACTCACTCCAAGCTCTTTTAGAACTGACAAAGCTGAATTGGACTATCTTCACTGCAAAGAACAAAATTTCTTGCTGCAATTAGCAATCCTCACATGAGGCATCAAAGAACTCCACATAGTGTTGGATCACTCCTTTGTCCACAAATGTACCACATTTTTAAATTTAAAATTAATTCCCTAGGTCCCAAATATCATCCTTCAAAAGAGTTCTGCAGTGTATGAAAAAGGATGTTATAATACACGGGACTTCCCCAGCTTCCACAGGAATAAAGCAAGCAGTTGGATACATATCCAAGCACCTGGCTTCATTTAACCTTTACAGTTGACTTCTCTCTCCTTTATCCATCCCACCAACAGCACAGGTGCTTAGCTGCCCTCTTATCCTCCCAGCTTGCAAACTGACATAGATTTACTGGTGTGGAGAAAAAAAGTTGAAATTTTCATTTAGAAATTAAATAGTGGCCTTCCTGACGTAAATCTTAGTGGGTGGCTTAGACCAGATGGATTGAAACTGTTCTTTTGCTACTTTTTGAATAACCTGAGCCCAAGGAAAGGCTATAAACTACATTTTACTTCAGCTGGAATAACTACAAATCACCCGACTATGACAAGAAATAAGAGCTCTTTGTTATCAACTGATAGTGGGATGAACTAGGAGAAGGGCTGAAAAAATTTTGACCTGTTCTGAACAGCCATCCCTGTGTCCAGCATACTGATGGAGAAGCAGGGAACCATTCACAGGAACCAAAGACTGAAATGGATCTTCTTGGTCTTTTTGTCCAGAGTTAGAGGATAGTTATTTCTCTCTGTACGTCCTATTCTTTCCTTACACATGGGAGAGAATAGAGACTGTGCTAAACAATACCTGCCTTAAATTCTTTTATTAATCCCTTTCTTTCTTCTACCTTTAGCAAAGAATTCACTATCTGCCACAATGTCTTAAAGTTGATAAAAGTTAAGAAAGATTATATCAGATACATTTCTTTTAATACAAAATCAGTTATCTTACTAAGAAAATAAACCAGCTTAGATTATGTTAAACTAGTTTTATAAACTTACATTGCAGTTTATCTCACTATTAATATTTAGCATAATAATATTTTGTTACTCAAAACCTGATGGAAAACTGTTTTGCTTTTTTTTTTTTTTCAGGCAGACTAATGGGTCTGTAGCTCTCTAGAGCACATTCTCCCTCACTCCTACATGCACTCTCTCACTCTCCATTAGTACAGGTATTATGTTTGTTAATCTCCAGTCACCCAGAACGCCTCCCTGACTTGACAGATTTATTACTAAGAGTTATGACTAGACCTGTGATTTCACATATCAGCACGTTTTTCAAGCATTCTGAGGTGGCGATGATCCAGGTCCTCAGCAAAACAAGAAGTCCTAACTCTGACTGTGGTCTGTGGTCCTTGGCACTCCCACCACTCTACTTCTGATGCCTTATTCAACATTGTCATCTGCAGAGACACAAAGTACTGCCAGTTTCTAGGGCACACTTACAGGTGTTCAATCACTGCTGGGTCCTCTCTCATAGAGGCTTCCACCTTCCTAACACCCTACGCTGCACCAATCTTAGTCCTGCCCATCCTAACTCTGAGGTGCAGCTCCTGGGGAATGATACATGTGTATGACCAATAATACTGTCCTGAGCTACCACAGGAATATATCTGGGAGCAGATCCAACAGTGAGTTACTGCTAGACCACCTAAGGGCGTCACAAAAGCAGCTTTTAGAAAGGAGCTATGAAGGGAAGGTTCAAGTGACATCATACAAGAGACCACATTCCCAAGGAGCTGTGGAAAACAGAAAGCTTGAGGAATGCCTTTACCCTTTGAGGTGATCATCATTTATAACAAACCTTTTTAAGCACATGTCTATTTTTACCCTCCCTGTAAGTTAATGTTTCCATACAAAGGGATACTGTCACTAGTACAGGTTAAAGTTTGCCTGCATAGCAAGTGAACTGATGCAGAAACTGAATATGGGACAGGAACTGTAATGCCAAACACTCACCTGACAACAACATCATAGTCATCAATTTTTAACCCCAATGACTTATTTGCAAGTACTCCACCATTTCCCACAATAATACATCGCCGGCAGCTGAGACTGTGGAAGAAACAGAGGAGAGAAGTGATTTTTGTAACAGAACTTCAAACACACAGAGAGCACATATTTAGTTTGCATGTATATGAGAACTACAGGAAACCTCTGTAAATATGAAAAATTATGAGGGGGACAGAGATACACTTGATCCCCAGCTCACCTCATCATGCCCAGGCATTACATGTGATACACTGCTTTCAACACCTCACACCACGTGTGGCATAATGAGATGAGCTGTCAGGACAAGCAGCTCCTCTCCCCTCACACCCCTGGTATGATGGGCTTGAATCAAACCCATCTGTTTACTTGAACCATCTCATTATTCATTCAGCACTGAAATAACAATAAACCAAAGGCTTAGTGAGGAAGTCTTCTCTCCAAGCAATTTTATGAGTGCAGGCAGATCTTGTCAGGTATCTGGGGTGTGCTCACCTTGCTGAGAACAAAATTGCTGCTTTTATCATAAGACTTCAAGAGACAGAAAAACATTAAACTGAGAGAAAAAAAGATGCCCCACACATGCCTGTCCAGTAGGAAACATATATGGAGACACAATAGGTGAGGAAACGGAAGGAAAATAACCTTAATTAATAAAGAAACAGGAAAGAGAAGGAAGAGAACAGTTTCTCGTGGAACCCTGCGTCACGAGAACACTGCAGCAGATGTTAAAAAGCGATTTTGTTTTGAAGACAGAGAAAGGACTTCTTTCCAGCCATCTAATCCCAAATGCAGCTGGCTCTTCTGGCAACGTGCCTCCATCTCTGGTAGTTCACTGAAGGAATACGTGTCTGCAGAGCCTTTTTCGGAAAGGGTCCAAGGCAATCAGTTGTTTGGAGCAGATCCCTGAACTAGGCAGCCTTCCTAGCCCCAGGCATAGTCAACTGGTCGCTTCCAGGCTGTCCTCTCAGTGAAAAGTCTAAAGAGCCAGGAAAAGCTGTGCTTATGTGGAGTCCCTTTTTGCAGAGCAGGACTAGAGGGCACTCAAAAGACTCAGCTAAACCACTAAAGGTCACTCTGCTGACAAAGATATTAGCTGGAGACACATGCAGAATTAACAGAACCAAGAAATGCTCAGGAACAGCTTCCCTGCCCAGATAGTTTCATTGCAGACCCAAACCTTTCCAAAAGAAAAAACTCCCTCATGCAGATGGACATATTAGCCCAAAGGCTGAAGAAGCATGTGTTTATGATAATCAAACCACAATAGAGAAAGAATATTATAGATGATAGCATACCAAAAAATCCCCAAACCAACCAGTTCTGGCAACAAGGAGAAATCAGACACAAGATCTGGTTCAAGCAGTATTTTGTGACAAAGAGATGGAGAGTCAATCCCAAGTACACCAAAATGAGTGACAAAGATGGTAACAGCTTTGTCAAAACCTTTAAGGAAAAGGTGCTGTAGGAGGGAGAAAGACACATAGTTCAGTTCTGGCCAAGTGATATTTCAGAAGGAAATACACTCTTTTGATGATTATGACAGGAAAGTTTGACCTCCTAAAAAACAGACTGCTGGTTGAATTACTGTACCTTCTCCACTCAGCTGTGTCTCAGCTATGACTCCTTTTGAATTTTCTGTTTTGAAGAAAAATACAGTGCTGAAATCCAAAGGCTGAGAGCTCCAGGCACTCCACTCTTTCCTCTTCCCACTTACTGTTAGGATGTTCTTACCAATTCTGAATACAGATCTGCTTGTTTCATCCTCAAACCACTTAATCGCTTTCTTCACTTTTCTGCTAAATTAAAGCACCATCTACTGTCAGCAGTCCCTTCCACATCTGCATGAGATCCACTTACTGAGAAAGCACTGTGTATAAACATCTGCCTCTCACAGGGCAGACTGGTGAGCATGAGCTGCTGTGAGATAGAAGAACCAGTTCCACCAGCCAAAGCTGCTCCAGCAGCTTCATGACTCTGCTCCCACACAGGACTCAGAGACTGATCAAACCCCACTCCTAATCTTCTATTGACCATACAAACTGGAGAGAGCTCATGACATCTTGCACACTATGGCAGCTCTTCTAGGTCTTGACTCCCACTTGCAGTACATCCCTGAACAATTCTCAACTTCCCCTCAGATCTCCAAAATACTGATTCTGGAAGACCAGCATGCAGAGCTAATGCTGCTCAAGGCAGAGTGCCTTTTACACAGAGATTTTACTTACATCATTCCAATTCTCTTCTTACAGTCATTGGTTTGCAAAATATAATCCTCATCTTGTAAACATGACCTACATTGTTGCCTCGGTGATGCCTGATTTTTGATTTGGCTCCAGTGAAGGATGCAACAAAATAGTCAAGACTGACTTGGCCCTCCTGCTCATTATTTTCCCAGTCTTGGGTTCTGCAAATTTTCCTAGTGGAATTTCACATTTACTCCAGACTGGTTTTAGCCCCTGTGAACACCTGCCAGCAGGATTACACTATAAGTGTCACTAAAGGATTAATTCTCCACACTGACAATAACTTTTTTAAGCCATGTAACATATCCTATTCCTAAAAAGGATACCTCTAAATGGTGTAGCATAGAAACAGAACATAAAGGACTGAGACAAATAACTAATGTGTGCCTCTAAAAGTTTACCTTTACCATTCAAGCTTCTAGTTCATCTAAAAATATATCCTCTACATGGCAAGATTTAATTTTCGTAAACCCAAAGTAACATAACATCAGTTATGCTGCCAACCTGGCTCTGCCTTCTGCAGGATTTTTCCTGCAAGACCTGCAAACGAATCACTTACAGCTACCTCTTTATTCGCTCCCATATTTCTCCAAGAATGGCTGGAGATACAAATACAACATTTGCTGTTCTCTCAAACATTCCAAGAAGGGCTAAAAAGCAAACACTAATAACAACAAGAATTTTGTATTTAACTCTTCATTGTTTACTGATTTTAAAAGACATATAATTGTCATTTAATACCCTTGTAGTTACTAATAAAGGAATCATGAAGTATTTAATTGTTGCTGTAAAATGAGACATCTTTCTATCTTTACCCCCAAAAATGAAACAAATACTTAACCAAATGGTTCTGCCTTTACTCATTGTAATTGATAGGTTAATCACTTTTGCCCAGCTTCATGTCTGAACCACTCTTCTACCCTCATGGTTCTGATATATTTAAATGCATTCTCCTTTTTCCTTAAGTCTGCAGATAAGATTTTTCATTAGTAACTTTCTGACCCTAAGGTCTCATCTTTGATCTTCTAACAGCTTAAATTTCTTTCAAATGTACTCTGTCTACTGATTGTGCCTGAGCATGGGAAACCTGCACAGTCATTGCTGGCTCCAGGCAAGTTTCTGGGTGAAGAAATGCACAACGCAAGCAGCATCAGTTACAGCTCAATTGTTTCTCCACAAAGAAGGGTGCAAACACCTTTGTGCTTGTTTACACAGTATGTCAAGGCCCTGTTTCTTTTCCAGAAGATTTCAGGGATTGAGCACATCAGACACAGCCCATGTTTCAGTTTGCTACCAGGGTGGTATGAAGGACAGTCATGGACTTTCCACAACAGATATTCCCTAAAGCCCTAAGCTGGGAGCTGCAGCCAGATGTACAGACTCTTGACACAGATACTCCAAGGTTCAGTTCATCTACATGAAAAGCAGGATTCATGCAGATTTTCTTGAACAATATAGAACTGTAAACACGTATATGCTTTGTAGCAATTCCTATTTCCTCTTCTCTCTTATCAAAGTGCTTTAGGGATTTGTCAGGGGAGAAAAACCACAAAGCCTTTCTTTACACAACTTTGGATCTGAAGGCTTTGAGGAAAGATAAAACTATTCTGTTGTACCTTTAGGGTAGTTGGTGCATAAGGAAGCTTAACATATTCTGGCTTGATCTGGCTGCTGTTACTTAAATGAGTGCTATCAACCTGAACCAGAGGGGAACACACACCTCTCTTGTTCTATCAAATCCCTTCCTCACTTGTCCAGGTAACACGCTGCATTAGTAAAGACTATAATAGTTATAAGCTCAAACTTTCAGTTTTCTTTCATTACTAGCTGGAGGCAATACAAAAAACGTCAGTCAGGTTTTTATATTTATGTCTTTTCACAGGAAATTTACATGTCATCACCCCAGAGATGTAACCTAAAAATCCACTGAAGTGCAGCCAGCAGATGGGCTGTGAATTATAAACCAAGCCCTGATCCATTTGCAGAATGAGGGACAGGCCACTGGAGGAGCCACTAAATCAAGCAATGAAAATCTCAGCAATATAAGAGGGCCTGGAAAAGCCAATGGAGGGCAAGAAGTTTCAAAGATGAGGCCCACTGACATCTGTGTGAGAGAAAAAGACATGCCAGCTCAGAAAGAAGAGGTCAATAGTTCTAGAGAAAGTCCCCTGGATCTCCAGACTTTTCCAGACAAGTTCAGGGTGAATTGTAACTCCCCTCCCGAACATCACTGGAGCTTCACCTACCCCTGCCCTGGAGCAGGAGCAGGTTACCATTCAACACAAGGTGCTGTAATGAGGAGTCATGAAGAAAGCAGGGCAGCATGTACACTGTTACAGGTGTGAACCACAGCCTTTGTTCCCATGCCCTCCAGCTGCTGCTACATATAACACAATGGAGGGATTAGTGGAAGTGAATTGGCAAAGCTGCTCTGGGATGATGAAAAGTGCACGCATACCCAGAAGGATCACGTCTGCCTCATTTCAGCACCATGTCAGTACATTGTGTCAGGAAAGGTGCATCAGGATGCCCTTTAGCACAGGAATAAGCAAACAAACAAGGTCATTTCCAGGGCTTATGAGAGGCAAGTGAATGAAACTTCTCAAGGACCAGCTTTGTGAAGGAGGGCAGAAACGGAGAAGCTTGGGTAGGAACAAGACCAAAGGCTTGGTGTAGAGATCTCCCACCACACAGCTCTAATCCTCTCTTTCCTTTCTGTGCTCTCACGCACTGCTCTGACCTCACCTTTCCTGCCTCTCCCACCCTTCCCCTGGGAAAGCTGTATTCAGTGTATAGTTCCATGAACACTTACTCCAATGGGCTGGGCAGTGCTCATCCTCCCCACCCATCCCAGCCTCTGCCTCTCCTGCTGCCATTTCAGCCCTGTGCCCACACAACTCTTCAGTGGGAGGGGAGCTCTGGAAATGAAGTCATTAGAATGACCTGGGTTGAGAGAAAAACTCATAAACTGGAATCATCTCACTGATCTACTTTGAAGTCCCCTTTCAAAAAACAGCAGCAGCATAAGGAGAAGGGCAGCAGCAGTAGCAAATATGGCTTCTTAGACCTGCCAACAGAGAAAATGTTGATGTAACTCCATTCTGAAAAGACGGTGAACCTGGAGCCTTTTTCCCGCTTCTAGAATCAGCCCACTAGACTTCTGAGAGTCTACAAGAGGAAGGGCCTACATAGAACCAAGAATGGTTTGGGTTGGAAGGGACCTTTCAAGGTCCCCTAACTCAGGCTTTCTCCAGTTGCTTCAAGGTGTTGAGCAAAGGGGAGAGGTCTGGACTTTCTCCATGACCAGTGAGCAGGAAGGGATTGGCTAAACCCAAGGCTCTGCCCCCAGCAGGTGCTGCCATAGAGGGGAACTGTTAGGATCTGCTTGAAGCTTGAGACAAGATGAGAAAGGAGCTAGACTTCATCCACCAGTCTTCTCCACAAACTTTTTAGGAATCCAAAATGGCAGATACCTGCTGCGGCCAGCACTGGAATTCAGTGATGACCACAGCTGAAGAACATTTCTGGAATGATACCCAAGTCTTCATCTGTGCCCTACTCAACAAGCAGGTTTAGCAGACCAGCACTATGGCAGCCTTCACACCTCCCACAGTTCCCAAGCTCTTTCTCCTCATAACTCCTCTGTTGCAACTCCATCCCACTCCTCCTTTAGGCTCTCACTTTCCAGCTTGCTATCCCAAGCCTCCTTGAGTCCCTTTCTCTCATAAACACTTCTGTTTTAATCCTTCCTAAGACCTCCTCACTTGGAAGGGCTTTGGGAGGTATTTGATGGTGATGCATATGTACTACACAATCAACATCCAGTGATATGGATTTATCACAATTCCCAAGGAAACAGTACTGCCCCAAGATATCTGTGTGTTTACATACCACCAAACCTTGTTGCTGCAATGCCACAGAAATAAATGTCTGGCTTGTTCCTGAGGTCTCATTTGCACTTGATATCTCATGTATTTTGCATATATTTCATGGGGCTTAAGTGTTAGATCTTTCCTATCTCTGCAGCAAACCCCTTATAAAGAACCCAAACCAAAGTGAGCAGCTCATGCCAGAGTCATTATGTTTCAGAATCTCCTGCAAAATTACTTTTAAAAAGCCTGAAACATTCTACACCTCACAAAACAGGTGAGCAGCAAGGGTCACAATTACATTAACCTTCACTGCAAGAATCTTCCACCTGCCCTCTGTCATTAACATTAATTTCATATGAGCTACCTTCTGAAAGAGTCTATATGTGGATTTTTCAACAGATTAAAATCTTAACTCTCCAACCAGAACTGAGATTAGCCCCAGATGGATGAGACTCAGTTGTGTACAAAATCTCTAAGAAGGTCATTTGTAAAATGGTTTTACCTTCTGGACATAATTTCTCAAATTAATCCAAAGTCTGAAGGCTAACCCTATCTGGCACTGCTGTGAGGCAGCAAACTTCAAAGAAAGCTAAATTAACACATAGACTATGCAAGACTAAGAATAAGCTTTCACACAGAAAGTAACTCCCAACTACAGCAGGCAAGCTCTACAACCAGCATGAGAGATGCAGAGACCTATGGAAAGGCTGGTTAAGCTTATGAACTTTGTCGTGAAAAGTGGGCAGAAGGGGAGCTGGGCCAGAAAATAAAACCCATGTGTTTAGAAATCAGGAACTGTGTTCTCAGCCTGGGTCAAGTACTACTGGAAATAAGTATTACCAGGACTTTGAAAAGAGCTCAAGTCCCAGAGTAAAAACCTCTGACAGCTTCTGAAAAAAAAAAAAAACAAACAACAAAAAAAAACTTTCCCTAATCTCAGAGGTGGCACTAAACCAAACCTGCAGGAAAAATGGAAGAAATGACAGAAAAGCAAGGACAGGAAGGACTAAAGGACTATCACTAGGAAGCTGATTGTAAACATGGCAGTGAGTTTCAGAAACAACCTCAGCAACAGAACTGAAGAATCAAAGGAGCTTCTTCTAAAGGCATCAATTCAAATATCACAGGACCCAGGAGACAGCTATCCTGTTCACCCTAGCACAGGCTTGGCCAACACAACCAAACATTCCTACTTTGAGAGTGAGGTATTAATGAAAAACATTGTTGAAATAAGCCAGTCCCTTCTTTCTTTCTAAAATTCCTTGTGATTCTGTTGCTCTGTCAGAAAGGCTGGAAAAGAGCAAAGTGTTTATTGAAAATTGCTATTTACCTATTTGAAAATGGGGCAAAAGGATGTCTTGTAACAACATATGAAACAAATGACTAGGAAATAGTCAAAAGCTAAATGCTTTTTTCTACTTATGTTTGACTTGACAGAAGTCTCCAGAGTCTACAGATTTACTATAAAGAGGACTCAGTTTTCAGCTCCTGACTTACTCATCCACATTCAAATGTATTGGCAATAATTTCTGGCAAAAAATATCTATAATGTCTAACAAAATTTATATAGGACATATGGTAAAGAATCACTTCTACTTCTTCTGTTCTGAAGGTTTCATCTTACCTGTCAAGAGCTGGAGTTAGACGATAATCTTTGGTTGCTGACAGGATGGCTTTGATCAGATTATCTGGGGAGAAAGGAAGAAGACATTAGGAACAAATTCTGACTTCTAACGGAAATGAGAAACAATGTGGAGTAAAGCATCTGAAGCAGTTACTTGAAGGAACTGAAAGGTTCTCATTAGGAATGAACACTAAATTGAATATTCCTATTTTCTCTGGACAATGACCTTCACACACAGCCTGCAAAGACATGTTATGTGCCAAATTCTGATGCAGTGTGTAATAGCCTTGCACAGAGAGTGTCACAGGAAACAAGCACCGTACATTTTATAGCAGTGATTTCATATCCCCTGCCCTGAGATGACAGTTTCACAAACACTTCAGACACGAAAAGGCCAGCATCACTGGTCACTGCTTGCCTTCAGAAAAGCTTTTATGTGGCTGAGTGGTGAACTGGATGCAGGAACAGAACCAGGCTAAAATGGATGCTTTTCGCTCTGTGGGTTACTTTCAGTTTAGGTTCCTTAGTCCGTCTTTCTTCAATTAAAGCATCATAATTGCATAAAGAAATGCCCACTGCAGCCTACACTGACACCCTGCAAATGCTGCAGCAACCAGATGATGTAAGTTATGCAAGCATAGGCATACAAATTAAATGCATTAAGTTGCAGAAGCACAGTGATTACATACAAATAATTCTATCAGCTATGGAAACTTTGGAGTCTGCTTCCCTCTAGATTTTGCCATTTGTCCCTAATTTTTCCATCTCTCTCCCCCAGAGAGGTCCAAACTCCTTTACCCAAATAGGGCCAAAAGCAGTAAGGCTCTGGCTAGTTTGTATTTACAAATTGTATTACAACTGTACCAGTAACTTCAGAATGTCTGTACTAGGTTTGACAAAAAGTCCATCTGCCTACAAATCCTGACTCTAACTGTGGTCTTAAGCAGATACCTAAGAGGACAACAAAACCAAAGCAAACAGATGTATTTCCCTGAAATTCTCCTGTTTAACTGTTTTCAAATCAGGGATTTTGTATGTCAGATATAGCTTCTTTGTATCTGGTAACTTGCAATTATTTCTATTCCATAAGCTCAGAATCTTCCTCAATCCATATAGACATTCAATCACTTCCCTTTGCAATTTTGAATGTGGCTTCTCTGAACTTCATTTATACTGGAAAAGATTGTGAACAATTAGTCCCCTTCCATCTTTTCTTGGGAGATTGCAAATAACTCTAACATCCTCAAATATTTCAGTCAACTAGTTCAAAAGTTCCTAGGAAACACCAGTGAAAATAAACAAATAAGCCTCATTTCTTTACAAAAGACTAAAAACGGTAAGGAAACATTAAGAAAACTGACAACAAGTGATTTTTCACCTCTAACTTAAACATCTTTCCTGACAGACACTAATTACTGCAATCAGCAAAGTTAGGGGAGACCCTTTCACATTAAGAATTCTGATCTTCTCCACAGTGTCCTTCCTCAGCAGTAACAGGACAAATGTGTGGCATAAACACAGGAGCTCAAGGCAGCCCACATACCAAAGAGCTTTGAACCTGACAACAAGCTGGCCAGACACACAAAGATGATAAACAGAAAACTCGGACAATTACTTCGAGATTCAGGGAAGTTTTTGATATGGCAGCACTGACAGCACCTGCCAACTATTACAAGCTGGGGAGTGTGATTACCTTCACATCATAGTTTGGAGAGGAGTAAAGGACGAGGCAATTCATAAGGGTAAAACCAACTTTGATAACAAAATAGTGGTGTTTAGTTTTCCTTCATCTCAAGAATTTCTTCTGATGCATAGGCAGCAGGCTTCCCTGCCAACAGGAACGCTACTCCCCTAAATCTGCCGTAACAGCAGTAGGTTGCTGTGACCTCTAATGGCATCATGCCACAGTCCTCTCCTTGGCCTCCTTCACACCTTGGCTTTTGCTGGACAGCATACTTTACTGACGTTGTTTTCCTACATTCTCAGAGAAGACATCAAAGGATTGCATGTCAAGGGCTGCAACCTCCCATCTACCAAGCTTTTGTTATGCCAGGTTTGCTCTATCACCCACAAGTTACACCCTGCACTACTTGGAGACCATCCCATGGACTATTTTAGAAAAAAAAACATTAAAACAATACAGTTGAGTGATGCACTCAAATTATTCTGGTTTACTCATCTTGCAAGATAATTAGCAATGCCTTCTTAGTGAATGCTCAGGAATGAAATAAAACTATAGGAGTGGATGTGGCAGCATTTGAATGGAGGTGCTTCCCAAACAAAACAAATAACAATATTGAGCATTCAGTACAGATTATGAACGGACAGATAGGAAATAGCTCTTCAACAGACCCCACAGTCCAGCAATACATGGCATCCAAAAGTTTTGGAAGTTGCACAAATCTCAGTGTTACTATTCAAACCTGCTGAACAAAGCTCAATAAAAGACAAAGTACTTCACTGTCAAGGGTTCACCCACAGCAGGAATGAAGGTGGCACCAAGTTCATCTGGTCTAGCCCTCTTTTGGAAGCCAGGAAAAACTAATGGCTGGGGGAGGGGACAGGCACTAGATCTTTCTAGTTGAGCTGGAACTCTACTTCACTGTTGCACTTGCACCTTGACACTGGCACTAGGATGGAAAGACATGACCTCCTCCAGAAGGAGTTACTGTATTTTCTGTATTTTCCTGGGGAAAGGTTTTAAGGATCACCAGATGCTGCTGTGGCTGATCTGCAACCGTGCACAAGACCACAAGATTCCTTATTGCTCTTAAGGAGCAATAAGGAATCACTGGCAGGATCTTTTAATACAGCTGGGGCAAGGTAGAGGATCACTTGCAGTCACCACTGCAAAGACTATCATCACAGATTTCTGATATCAGGGTTCACCTCCAGGCTGTGACTAAAGAATATTGGGCACCAGGAAAGCAGGTACATTATGTAAAGTCAATTGATGAGACTTGCTCTCTCCACGGTAATAAACTGAAGGGGGTGATGAGCAGTCTGCCTTAGACATCCATGTACTGAGTGAAAATAATGGGTGCAAGTACATGTAACAAATACTACAAAGAACAATTCCTTCCTGCTTCAAGTAGCAGGATTTGTGCACAGCCACTTCCTGGAAGTCAAGGACTGAAAGAAATTTTGCAAGGACAAAAGGCCAAGTTGTCTACATGAACACATCAGCAGGGCAAGTAAATCTACTGCAGTCTTCTGCAGCCATAGGCTGTTTATTATATTTTCTTCTTTTGTCATGGAGAATTTAGATCACTGGGGAGAGTGGGAGATTATTTAACCCATTCATCTATCAACCACTATGCATGCACTCTTACTATGAAAACAAGGCAAGAAGCCTCTGCACATTTTTCTCCCGTCTAGAGAAGGAGTTGACTATATTTATCTAAGAATCCTGAGTTATCTTGACATAGTCTATCAACTTTGCCTTATAACATAAGAAGATTCAAAAGCCAGCTCAGTACTGGATGATTTGTCTGAACACAAGTACATATTGACTTCAGGTTGACCCTGAAATTTTCAGACATTTGGAAAAACTAAATAGTTAGAAATTAGGCAGACAGTGACCACACAGTGAGAATCAGCCTAAGTCTCAATTCTAGCCTTTTTCTCTGTTATTTATGTGAAGGAATGGAGGAGACCTTCACTGTAAATGTCAACAACACTTAAAATTGTTGTTTCTAATGCAGAAACGTCTTGCTTGTATCACCAAAAGAAGATAGGAGGCCTTTCCAGTCCACAGGGCTTACTGCAGGCATCTTACAGGGTCTACCTTCTGCCTGCCTTGAAAGCAGGCAAACTGGGATGTTTGTGCACTCTCAATGTCCATGAGAAGAGGCTGTAATTTTTCAAGTTGTGTATACCAGCCGCCTTCCTCAAAACCCAGCACGCCTACATGCCCCAGCTGGCAGCAGTAGGTGTGAACTCCCTGCCTCAGGGTCAGGGGACAGCTGCAGTGCTGCTGCAGTGCTCAGTGCTTGCCCTGGCAGCTGTGGCCAGTGCCCATCTCCACTGGTGGTCACCCAGCTGCCACCCTGCCAGCCAGCACTTCTGCAGCTCCAGGGCATCAGTTCCAGCTTTTGGGAACAGACTGACTCGAGTGAGGTTGACTGACATTCTGTGCAGTCTGCCAGGAGACCGCACATGGGTCCCTGTCCCATGGCAACAGAATGCCACGTGTGTGTCAGCTTTGTGGGGAGAGTAAACTAAACACCACCAATGCTATGGATTAAACAAATCACAGTATTTACAAACAAGTTCTTAGCACAAGCCAGTGCATACACTTTTTTTCAATACACTACCCAAAAGTTCAGCTCTGTATAAAATTCTTCCTTCAGCATTTTTTTACCTTAAGGTCTTGCTCCATATGGGAGCTGAGGAATGACCTTTAACAGAGAAGTTTTTACATCTTTTGAAGAATGATCTTTACAGCAAGTCAAGGGATGCGATTCTTCCACTCTACTTAACCCTAGTGAGGTGACATCTGGAGTGCTGTGTCCAGTTCTGGACTCTTCAGGACAGAAAATATGGAGCTCCTGGAGCAGGTCCAGTAGAGGGTAACAAAGATGATGAAGGGACTGGTGCATCTCCCTTATGAGGAAAGGCTGGGGGAGCTGGGCCTGTTCAGAGGTAAAAAGAGAAGGCTGAGAAGGGACCTAATCAATATCTCTCAGCACCTCAAGGGAGGTGTCAGAGGATGAACCAGGTTCAGCACAGTGGTGCCAAGCAATGGTACAAGAGCAAACAGGCAGAAACTGATTCCCAGGAAGTTCCACCTGAATATAAGGAAGAACTTCTCTGTGCAGGTGACCGAGCACCGGGACAGGCTGTGTAGGGGGGTGTGGGACCTCCCTCACTGGGGATATCCCAGAGCCATCTGGACACAATCCTGTGCAACCTGATTTGAGATGAGGCTGCTTGAGCAGGGAGGCTGGATCTGATGACCCAGGGTGGTCCCTTCCAGCCTGACTCATTCTGTGATTTTCCATTCTGGTGCCCAGCACAAGGCCATGGACCCAAGTCCCACCACATGTTCCATTCTCTCTTCCA